CATTTCATGTGCTTTATGCTTTGATCTCCTGGGTTGGGTGGTGAGCACACCTCTTCCCGTGGCATACCATTTTCCCATCGGAAAGTCTTGCTCATGTGGTTTTCTCACCTGCTTCTCTATTTCTTAAAGCCCTAAAGAACTAAAAAGGATTGTTTTTCCACTTTTAAACGTCCTGTTAAGGGGCGCCTGGGTGGCACAGTCAGTTAAGCATTTGCCTTCAGCTCAGGTCATGATCCCAAGGTCCTTGGATTGAGTCCTGTGTCAGGCTCCCTGCTGAGCGGAGAGTCTGCTTCTCCCTCTGCCTCTGCTGCTCCCCCTGCTTGTGTGCTCTCTCTCTCTCTCGAGAGCTCTGTCAGTGAATAAATAAAATCTTAAAAAAAATAAAAGTCCTATTAATATTATTTCATCCTTTTTTTTCTTTTTAAAAAAGTGAATCATTCTGCTTTTTTCAGTTTATCATTGTAATATGATTTTAAGCGTCATTCTTAGTCTAATAGTTTGTCTCACTGTGTATATTGAAACTAATTGAACACTAAATACGTAAAGCATAGCCATCATAATGTTTATTCTAGCTGCTACTGTCAAATAATCTAAAATGAATTTGCCATCATTGACTGTTACAGCATTATGTTGCCCACTCATAGGGCTGACTCTTGCCTAAGAGTAGTACCTCTGTGCTTGGATGATTGGTTTTTTGGAGTCAAAGTTTGGCTGTTACATATACCCTTGTTAAATTCCATTTGGTTAGATTGATCTAATTACTTTCTTTAACTCATCCTCATAACCTGATTTTAAGTGTCTCTGAATCACAGAGATCCAGTTTTTTGGTTTGGGGGTTTTTTGTTTGTTTTTTTGCCAGATCATTTTTGCTACCCCAACTATTCACTATTCCATCCCATGCCATATCATCCACCTTTTTTGTTGACACTGTATCTTCATACCGTCTTTCAAGTCACTTCCAAGAATATGGGTCAAGGAAGAAGTTCTTTATCATCTCCCTCCACGTTGCTCTTTAGCCATTCATGGCTCCTGTGGTTACGGCTGTTGAACTAGTTAGGAAGCCACCTAATCATTGTTTCTTCCACCCCTATTTTTCTGGTTTTTCTTGACCGGCATTCATTTGTGTTCATTCATAGATTCATTCATTAATATTTATTGAGCTCCTTCTGTGCCCCAGGAAGGCCCTTGTGGAAGTAGAACTGTTAGGGCTTTTCTAATAGATTAGGTGTAGACTATGAGAGAAGAGTGGCACTAAAGATGACTCCGTGGTTTTGGACCTGAACAGCTGGAGAACAGAGTTGCCATTTACCAACCCAGCTTTAGCAACACCTGGTAGGAGCAGGTTTGGGGGTAAAATATCAGTAGTTTGGTTTTGAGCTTGTTAGGTTTTAGATGCGTGTTTGACATCCAGATGGACACGTCGAATGTATATATGTGGAGCTCAGGGGTGGTCTGGACTGGAGCAGGAAGTCTAGGTGTCATCAGCATGTAAACTGAAACCTGAACACTGGTGAGGGTGTAAGTGGAGACAGGAGAGGTCTAAGGACTGAGCTCTGGTCAGTTTAGATTCCGTGTGATGGGGATGAATGAGCAGAGGAGACTGGGAAACAGTGGCCAGGGAAGAGGGAGGAGAACCGGGAAAGCAGAGTATCCTAGAAGTGAGGGTTTGCAGGGGCATGTGGAAGAACCACTTTCTTACACGGCTCTGAGAGGTCAAGTAACATGAGGACCAAGAACCGACCATTGAACTTGGCCGTGTGAAGGTCATTGGTAATCTTAAGAGAAGCCATTCTGGTGGAGTGGTTCAGGCAAAAGGACATCATGGGAAACCGTCTGATGGTTGAGGTTCACACCTGCTTTGTCAGCCACATTTCACCAGTCGTTGCAGTCTGGGAACCTTGTTAAAGAAGAAAATGAAGTTAGTTTTTCATACCTTAGGTTTTCTTCCAGATCCCTCTAATCTGTTAGGGATGAAGTTTGTAGTTGCCAAATCTGCCTTTCTCCCCCTTTTGTAAATTGCAGTGTCATTTGCCTCTCTCTAGGATCTCTTTGCCATTGTCTCATCCTTTCTGTGGCCAGATTATGTACAGTGCTCATCCTCCTTGTGCCCTGGGACAGCTTCCCTCCAGCCCAGTGATCTGACTTAAAGGACTGAAATGCACTATATCACCTCCCTGTCTGTATGGGGCTTACAACCTCCTTCTTTTCTATTTCTGCCAAAGGTGCCATCTCAATCTGACAGTTAGGTCATGTCTTGCCGTTGGATCTCTATCACCATCTTTATCATCCTAAGCCAGAGATGAGTTTTTAAGCTTCTCAGCAAGACATTATTGTATCTGTGGTTCTCGAGCCTAGCCACACATCACATTCACCTCTAGAGGATTTTTATGTTTTCTTTTTAGGGAAAATCATAATTTGAGTGTTTTAGAACTCTAAGGGAATTATTTTATCATTGTGATAAAATTGTGATGTTCTTTATTTGTGAGTTTTAGAATTATAATATTTTCACAACTCTGGTGTGTTGCCACTTTCCATTGTTTTATATGGTGAAGCCTGATTAGATTTTCCCCCCTTCCTTTTTATTATAACCTCTAAAAATTTCCTGTATCGTACTAAGAATGCCACAGATGGTCTTCAAGGAGACACAGTGATCCACAGCAGTGGTTCTTAAACTTGATCATCCACCAGAATCTCCTAGAAAACTTGTTTATAAAACACAGGGCATCCTGAAATTCCCCGTTGGCTGGGTCTGAATTTGCATAGCAGTTGAGCTCCAGCAGATTCTGATGCTGCTGGTACTTTGAGAGCCAGGGCTCTCTGTCTAGGCTCCAATGGGTAAATATCCTTAGGGTTGTGCACACAGATTGCTTTCCTGAACTGGCAGAACCTGGAGAATAAGTATGACCAAGGGCAGAGATGAGGCTTGCACTTGACTTGGTTGGGTCTCTGTGAGGTTCTGGTAAGCCTGAGCCGTGTTGAGATGGAAGCTTTTCATGTGCCATAGGCATCAGGAGGTTCTCTCTCTGAGCTTGTGTTTTGGTTTGTGGCCATATACTTGAATTCTTTGTGCTCTCCTGTAAAGTTTACTTGTAGCCTTATCTTTGGCCTCTGAGTTGCTCTCAGAATCACCACTTACCCTGACCCAGTTTATAAGAGCCACTGTAGCCCCCTTTGTCAACAAAATGTACACATTTTGTTACACATCTAGTTAAATGACAACTAGATTGAGCGAGGAGTGCCTGTTGTAGCTTTATCTGGTAAGTCCTTTGTTATATTTGAAAGCAGATTGAGAGGATTCCAGAGAAAACACACTGATGTAGAAGATTCCTTACATTATTTTATATTTAACCAAATAAACAGAATTCCTCTAAGTTACCCACATTCACCAGAGTATTCGTCAAAAAATCTTTGTCCCAAGGAAGTCAGAAAATGTGTCATCTATCTTGTATCTCCCTTCCTCTTTCAAGAAGTTGCCCTCCGAGATTGACTACCCTTTTGAACAATCTACGAATTGTAGGCGTTGGTCACTAGAGGAATATTTACGAGTTTTTTTCTTTTCTCATTCTGATTCATTTAGAATTGGTCGCAAATTTCTTTAACTCATAGGCTGCACTGCTTTTATTCTTGACATTGAAGAATGTCCAGATTCTTCAGGGATGTGAAAGAGTATTTTCTTAGTTGTTAATTTTTAGAGACTTAAAGCCAAACCCACATTCCAAAGTTTCTTGATAGCACATATGCTGGTTAAAGTTGTGAGGGGTATTCGTGGGGACTAACACCCCTGTTGTTTATCAAATCCCGTTTTCCGATTGCTAAGTGGTTAGCCGTAATTGGTGCTGGGCACACTCATGACGGCCTAAATGTCGCTGTGAATGTTGCTTGTCTTTCTAGCCACTTAAGACTCTCTCAAGACAAGTTCCCTATAGACAAGCACATAATAATTTCTTTCAGGTTATCTTCTCATTTCACATTCTCTGTTGCAGAAATATGTGAGAGGAGAGTTCATATTTTTACTTTGTAATCTGCTGTGATTACACACCATCTGCTCTTCTTCTAAGAAGCAGTGTGTGGCCAGAGTAAAACTAAATGAAAGAATTACGAGGCATTTATTAGCTCTTAGTAGGAATAGGTGGAAACCTGTGCCCTATCTGTTTGTAAATCTTACGGATCTGACAATTCAGAGTTCATTTAATATGCCCTGGAATTTGAAGCAAATTCTACCTTGGGAGGGGGAAAAAATCCCCAAAACAATCCATTGAGCTTTTCGTAGGGCTGGCGCCATGCTGAAGCTTTGCACCTGCAGGCCCTCATTTCATGTTCAGACACTGCCATGAGGAGTTTTCATCGCTGTCCCCATTTCACATTGCAGGCGCTTCCTCTGGTCTGGGAGAACTGAGGTGCAGGGCAGGGGGTTAAAGTCCGGTCTGGCCTACCCCCCCAAGACGTTGCGGTCCTCGTTGCTGCACACGCTCTGCACACACCACGGGCCAGTCCCCTGAGGAATAGTGGCTTGCTGGTTACATTTGAAAGAATAATGTCTTGAAAGTCATCAGGGAGAATGTCTGAAGAAATGAAGTCAGTCCTTGTCTATCAAAAGGAGTGGCTGAGGCCTTATTCCTAACTGCACTCTTCCTGCCCTGATGGGTTTTAGAGTCTGTGATTCAGTCCCAAATGTTTCTTAAAGGTTCCAATGGCATCTGTTAAATTTAAGCATTGTTTTATAATATATACCACTTTAGTTGGCGTTCGCTTTATTCCCAGCAGGGCTTTACTTCCCTTCCCCTATCTTACCCGGGAAGACTGTGAGTCATTGTGCGAGCACTCTAGGCCAGAACCCCCAAACTCCTTTTAGTAGGAGACCAGAGACAATCTACTGAAGGATATCAGCCTCTTACTCTATGATTCCTCCTTGTCATCAACCCCCTTAGCTCTGCTTTTCTGTGTTCTTTCTCATTCCTTCGAGACTTGCTTCTCACCCATGCTTCTTTCCCCATTCACAGCATCCATAACAATAAATCTCTTAAGAAAAACAAACAAGTAACTGAAGAGATGTATATCCCTGACCTGTAGCCAGAAGTCCCATAACAGACACCGGACAGGAGAGAGAAACTCCCTCCCCTTTTGATTCCTTTTCACTTGAGACAAGCCACCTCCTCCCCTGTGTCCCCCTCAGCCAGTAAAACTTGAGCTCAAAGAACTAGTCATCTGTTTGCAACCAAGGAAGGCCTCCCACATGGACCCTTTATGGGGTTTGAGCTCACACTGTCAGCCAGGGTTTTGCCGATTGTTCTGCCTGATTGGAAGGTGGGAAAATAACTGTGTGGCATGGAGGGGTGGGTCTCGCAGCCTGTTTTCTGGAGTGACGCTAGTGTTCATAAATGAGGCCGCCTTAGTCTCAAGGCCATGAGATTGATTCTGTGGTGTTTCTTATTCTGAGGACAGAGTGCAGGTAAGAGGGAGGTAATCCTTCCTAGACACAGAACAAGGCAGACATTTAAGTAATTTTTATCATTGATGTATTTTTTTTTTAATTCATTTAACAAGCACTCTTCACTGTCCTCTCTGTGCCAGGCCCAGTTTGAGGCAGTGACAGCCCAAGGTTGACAGAAGGCAGCTCCTCCCTACGGGCAGCCCCGCGGGAGATGGATGTACGCAGCCATGTGTTTATAGCCTGTGATGATTCCACAACGGAATCGGGAAGAAAGTGCTATGGCAGCAAACAGAAGCTTATTCCTGCCTGAAAGGTGTCAGAGAATGCTCAGGGGAAGGACTCACTGGTTGTTGAGATTTTTCCTATTGTGCTTGTGTGACCCATAGCGAGCTGAGGCAGGATGAGTCAGCCTGCCAGACTCAGTGTGGCCCTTTCCTAACCTACACATGGGAGCAAACGTGTGCAAATAGAATCCAAACAAACGTGGTAAACTGAAACACAACCAGGAGGTGGGATCTTAAGGTGGAAGGCACCTCGAAGGAGACCAAGCTGTGGCCCCCCGTTTTACCCAGGGGGAAACTGATGTCCCGAGAAGGGAGGCGGCACACCCCTCTGAAACTGGGGCATCATCAGAAGGGATTCGTGGCCTTGGACTTCCTGTGTGAGGCCCTTCTCCTGTTTGTCATCCAAGGGCTTTCTCCAGGCCTTCTCTGTGTGCTGTGATCTTGAATTCGGGCTGTGTTCTGTCCTGTTACTAAGATTATAGTGTTCCTTCTACCTGGCCTGCCAAGCATTGCCAGGTTGGCAAGGCACCACACCAAACAAAACCTAACCATGATCACCAGGGATCTCCTAAAAGCAAAAGAGAGCAGAGCTCTTTGGTTTCTCGGTGTTTCCAGAACACTGACTGGTAATCATTTTATGACTTTCTGGGTTGTCATGAGTGTCAAATGCAATAATGTATAGAAAGGGCTTCACATAATATCTGGCACACAATGAATGCTCTGTGAATCTTAACTCTTGTTCTTGCCAATTTGTTCACCCTCGAGTTTTTGCAGTTAGATTAAGGAAGCGGTGTATTCCAATGGAATGACTCTTTATTCTCTCCTTCCCTGACCTGTCTGCTGGTTTATCGTATATGCCATTCTAAAGTACACTGCTGGCTTTTCTTGAATGTCAACTTAAGCTTGGATTCCTTGGGTGAATATTGTAATAAGGAGCAGGCCAAGGGGCTTAAATCGACAAAAGCTTTGTGTTGACTTTTCCTCCGCTTTAACTCTCCGGGTAAGGACTGTTAGTGTCCGGGGACCACTGTTCCCGCGCCCCCCCCCCCCCGCACCCTGCCCCACCTTCACTGTGATTTGCTGCCCTCGTGCTCTGCTGCATTCTTTGCCTTCCCCTTTTACTTCTGCTTTCTACCAAACTAGCCTCTTGCCGCAGTCCTTCTGTAGAGGGGCTTTGCCACTACCCAGCCCTCTTACCCAAAAGGGCATCCCACACCAGCAGCTTCAGCATCTGAATTTCTTGCTTCCAGGATGGAGTGAGTTGCTCTGCTCAGGAAAGGGAGCTCAGTGACTCTGTGCAGAATCCTTGGTTCAGTCCCCTGGCCCTAATGGATAGACACGGCTGCCAGCGCTCACCCTAGAGGGAGCAGGTACAGTGGGGTGGGTCCAGTCTAGGCAGCCTTACAGCCTTACATGTGACTCCATGTGGCTTCTGGAGGCGAGTCCTTCGAAGTAATGCATGGCAGTGGGCTTTGGAGTCTGAGAGATTTGGGTTTGATTCCTGGGTCTGTTACTTACTATGTCATATTGGACCAGTCCTTACCTTCTTGGATTCCACTTCCTTATCTATAAAATGTGAATAACAGTTGTGTTCTTTCATAGGTTAGTGGTGAGGATTAAATTGAATACTATAGGTAAAGCTTAACACAATGCCTAGAACATAGGTGCTCTGGAAACTGTACTTTTCCTTTAAAAACCATGTGGCTTTTTAATTCCATGTTATACCAGATGTGCAGTTTATTTTGATATGAAAATATTTAATATGTTCCTTAAAGCCTTTTAGTGAAGTTGATACTCCAAGAAGAGAATTGCCGTGTTGGTTTCTTTTTGGTTTTGTTTTTTTTATGAAAACCTTCGGGAGAAATGTCTTTCTAGATGTAATATTTAGGAACTATCGAGTTATCCTCAGATGATTCATTCTAATCTTATGGATTCTGTTTGGCTTTCCGTTTTTTCCATTGGAAACTAGCAAACTGAGAGCCAAATGTTGCAGAAACCTACAACCACGGTGGGAATGTTGGACAGATTTACCGTTGGTTTTATTTTATGTTTCTACCCTTGTTTTTCTTGCTTCCTCTATTATTAGTCTTTGCCTTGTTAATCCAACCTGCCTTAAATCCTTGGTGACAGGTGAGGATACAAAGCCACTGACAGAGCGGACCCATCTGGATGAGCCGCCTGGGGACAACCCCATGAGCGTGTGACACTACTCATGTGCCTGGAGCATCATTTTTGCCCTTCCTTCTCCTACACCCAACCAACATCCTCTTCTTTTTCTTTTGAGTTTCTCTCAAATCTACCCCTTTGTCTTCACCCATCGCCCTCCATTGTCTCTGACTTGGGTTTTGGGGTGGCTTTATACCCTGTCTGCATGGTTCTATGGTTTCTCCCCGCCAGTGCATGCACCACACTCCTACCTGAGAGAACTGTCCAGCCCACAGGTCTTCTTGTTTCCCCTTGGCCTGCCCAGTGGAACCTTCTTGCCCTGTTGGCCTCTTCTGCTGACGTTGCCATGTGTCTGCTTACCGGACTCTTTTGTCCCCAGAGCACGCCAGGCTATCCAGGCCTCTTTCCCTGGGTGGGTGCTGTTTATTTTTCTTTCTCCACCTCTTGCCATCTACCTCAGGACTTAGCTGAGAGGTCATATCCCTCAGCCCTGGCCTCCCTCGGACAGAGTTACACTGTGGCCACCTTTGGTCCTTGGGCGTACGCTGTGGTTACACTTAACTGTAGTGCTCTGTTGTTGCCTCAAGTTCTGGCCAGCGTCCCTATGAAACTCGGTGGGTGCTGAAGGAATGAGTGAATGAGAGAGAGAGAGAATATACATGGATCTTGCCATTCTGAGCCTGCTTCTGAGATACTGCATGTATGAAAAATGTTAGCATTTCCACCTTTATTTTACACTTAGGGTAAAATTAGAAATAAGATCATCCACTCCTGGCAATGAGTTTAGGGCAAAGTAATTGTAGGATCCTCGTATTATTCCTTTTTCAAACTATGAAAAATGACTACCACTGGTGATGGTGTAGTCATTACCACTCTAGAATAAGGAGAGAGGAAGTTGTTCTATAATGCATCAGTGTCCTGGGCTGAATTGGAACAGCCATGTCCCCAGCACGGGTTTAGCACCCTCACTTAGCAGATAAGGCTGTGGTTTGCCCAAAATTCAGAGCCCGTTTATCTCATCTTTGTTCACTCATTGCTTTCTTCCTTCTATCAAATACTAAGTAAGCACGTGCCCTGTTTCCTTCTCCTTGAGAAAGACTCTTCAGGCAGAGGAGTGGTGTCCTGGATGCTGGATGCTGGTCTCACTGAAGATTAAAGCTGTGTGTGTACACACACACACACACACACACACACGCACGCACACACACAATATTAGCACTTGTTATAAGCTGATCCACAGTGTAGAGTGGAACGAGATTGGGACCCTGTCTGTCTACACCAAGGGACTAACAGCCTAGCAGGGGCAGCTCCTTCATAGAACAGCCGTTCTGTGCAGGAGTAAATAAGCATGGGACGCATATGCCTGATCCAGAGTGGGAGGTGACAGACTGTTAAGAAAAGCTCCACAGAGATGTCCATGCCCTTGCTAGGGTTCAAGGAGGCATAAGAGTTCACTAAACACAGCAGCATTGAGGTAGGTTAGAAGCAGAGGGCAGAAACAGCACATTTGTTAGAGATTGCTCTGATGGGCGCGTTGGGAGTTCATGAGACACCAAGAGAAGCAGCACTGATATTCCAATTGGGAGATGATAAGAGTTGCAGAACAAGAGACAGGGGTTTGTTTTGCTCTTTAAGAAGTAAAATCGACAGGGCTTGGTAACTGATTGTGGAGGGCTAGGGGAAGGGAGGAGTTAGAGTTGACTCCCAGGCTTTTGGCAGAAACCTCTGGGCGGAGGGGCCTAGAAGCTGGCTCAGACCCTGGCCTGTTGACTGACAACCCTGGTTATGGGATGCGAAGCTTTTTCTAGTAGCCTTTGGTCTGTTAAAGAGATAACTTGGCCTGTGTAAAATGAGCAGCTCTGGCCTAAGAAAGAAGTGATGGTTTGTGTGTTCCTCCTTTCTAAAGAGAGAGCTGGACAGTTTATCTGCTGAGAGCTGAAAATGACGTCCTAATTAAGGAGAAGTGAAGGCTGCGCTTCTGGTAGCAGTAATGTCTGTTCACTCATGGGAGCAAAGCAGAAAAGCTTTGAGAGCAGGGGACTTTAGAAAGGCACAGTCCTGCTGCTTAGCATGGGAGTTTGAGAGAGCACTTGCTAGAGAACTCAGAACTGCTGGAAGCAGAGGGAGACTCCTGCTGTTGGGGGGCGGGGGGCTGTCGGGAGACTGCACACGTGCCCGGTGGTGGAGTCTGGCTGAAATCCAGGAAAGTTTGAACACCAGAGTAAGAGTCCATGATTTGGTTGAAAGAAAGAGACATTCTAATCAGTCTGTTTATAATCAAACTTGCACTAGGTGTTTTTGTCATCAAAGTTATGAAATGATGAGAAAATACCTGAGTTGGACCTTGCTACTTAATTTTGTAGAAAGCTACTGTTAAGTACTATTTATTCAGATTGTTTGAGCATCACTTTTTTTAAAAATCTCTTTTAAAAGATATTTTTGCGAATGGAGAAGAGGATGTAGAGAACTTGGTTTGAGGAGTCAGGATTAGACACTTGCAGGAAACCCAGGAAGATGTGCGTAAGGCATATCCTGTTGCTTTGGAGAGGCTCTTGTTCTGTCTGGGAGCCTCAACAGGTCTGTGATAGAATTCACAGGGTCAATGAACTTAGATGGGAACAAAATTACATCTTTATTTTAACCAAATTCCAATCAATTTATTATTTTTATTATAAGTTAAATATTTATTTTAAAGAGAGCAAGTGCATGTGCATACTGGAGGAGAGGCAGAGGAGAGGGAGAGAGAGAATCTCAAGCAGACTCTGTGCTGAGTGTGGAGTCTGACACGGGGCTTGATCTCACAACCCTGAGATCATAACCAAGATTTGGGCACTAATTGACTGAGCCACGTAGGTGCCCCGTAAGTTAAATATTTAAAACATGTAGTATTCGCAGTATATGTCATCATTAGAATCAAAGTTATTTTCGTATTATATTAAAATTGTGGCACATATATTGTTTATGCTTACCACTACTTTGTATTTATGGCAGTTATTAGATCTGCCACTATGTGAGAAGAGCCAGTGCCTTAATAAATAAGTACATACATTACTAAATCACACGCAAAATTTTCTTTTAATTTGGATAAACATACTTCAGTCAAATTGGTGTCTTTTTTTTTTTACTCCTATGCATTGTATTTCATGCATTTAAAAACATTATTCTGAGCAGATGTCATCAGCTTCACAGCTGCCCAAAGAGGTCCGTGGCACACAAAAGGTTAATAACCTCTGGCTAAGAGCATGTAGTTGTGGCATATGACCTCCACCTGGTGGCAGCATACTCCTTAAAGGTTAAATCTATGATCCGCATTGTGAAGAAACTTTTAAAATAACAGTATACTTAAGTATGGTTCTCAAACAGTTTTGACTACAAATCCACAGTAAGAAATGGGCTTTACGTCATAACTCATTATACTCATACATAAGTTTCACAAAACAAGACTTGACCTTACCATGTAACATATTGATATTTTTTAATCTATTCAAATATTCCCTTTGATTCTCTTCTTTAAAATAAAATACTGGTCGTAACACAGTATACTGCAGTTCAGTGGGTTACACTGTTTGACATCATAGGAGACCCTCTTTCACCATATTGCATGAGTTTTTTACATGGGGAACTTCACTTTGGTGTTCTCTGAAATACCCATACATTTTCAGGGACATAATACATTTTATATAACTGTCAGTAAATATAAACCTGCTTTTACACAGCTTTTAAAAAATTATTTATTAGTGATGTCTAATTTATATACGCTGAAATGAACTAATCTTCAGCGTATAACCCAGCAAGATATAGAACATCCCATCACCATGCAACGTTCTTCTGTGCCTGTTCTCACTCAGTTCCATCCTAAATAATCACTATCTGATTGATTTAAAAAAATAAATAATTAGTTAATTAATTTGACCGAGAGAGAGAGAAAGAGAGAGAGAGAGAGAAAGCGTGCGCAGGCACGCAGGCAGGGGGATTGGCAAGCAGAGAGGGAGAAGCAGGCTCCGCATTAAGCAGGGACTCCCATGTGGGGCTCACTCAGTGGCAGGACGGGAACCTGACCTGAGCGGAAAGTAGCCACTTAACCAGTTGAGCCACCCAGGTGCCCACTGTCGGATTGCTTTGACCACAGATTTAATTTTGCCATTCTAGAATCATACAATATGTATTCTTTTTGCCTGGCTTCTTTTGCTCAACATAAGGTGGAGATCACTCCATATTGAGTTTATCAGTAGTTTTGTGAGGAGCAGTCCATCGAATGAATGTACCACACCTTGTTTATTCTCCTGTTGATGGACTTGGACTTTCTGTCTTAGCTATTATGAATAAAACTTCGACAAGCATTTGCATACAAGTCTTTCTGTTCACATGTTTTTCTCTCTCTTGATAAATACCTAAGGTGGAATTGTTGGCTTAGTCAGTAAATTAAATGTATGTTTAACTGTAGGAAACTGACCAACTGTTTGCCAATGTGGTCGAACCATTTTATATTTCCACTAGCAATGCATGAAAGTTTGGGTTGCTCCATATCCTACCAACATTTGGTATGTCAGTCTTTTTAATTTTAGTCACTTTAGTAGGTATGGAGTTGTATGTCTTGGTAGTTTTAATTTGCATTTGTCTGATGACTGATGTTGAACACTTTTTCATGTGTTACTAGCTGTTTGTTTATTTTGTGAAGTATCTATTCAAGCTTGGGTTGTTTGTTTTTTTAATATCGACTTGTAGGAGTTCTTTATTTTGGATGCCAGACCTTATGTCAGATATATGCATTTATGAATATTTTCTCTCAACCTGTGACCTACATATTCATTTTATTAATGAACAAAGGTTTTTAATTTTGACAGAGTTCAATTTAATTTTTTTTTCTGTATTTTGTACTTTCTGCATCCTATGAATTTTTTTTGTATTCTAAGTTTGGCAAGACAATTTTTCTTTTTATATGAAGGTCTTTCATCCATCTCAAATTCATTTTTGTGTATGGTATGATGTAAATGTCGAGTTTTCTTTTCTTTTCTTTTTTTAAAGATTTTATTCATCTATTTGACAGAGACCACAAGTAGGCAGAGAGGCAGAGAGAGGGGGGAAGCAGGCTCCCTGCTGAGCAGAGAGCCCGATGCTGGGCTCAATCCCAGGGCCCTGAGATCATGACCTGAGCCAAAGGCAGAGGCTTAACCCACTGAGCCACCCAGGCGCCCCTGAGTTTTATTTTCTTAACATATTTATGTTTGGTATTCTCGGGTCATTAGTCGAAAATAATTTCCTTTCACCATTGAATTATAGCACAGAATTTAAAAAGGAAAAAAAAAAAACTACTTAGCCAAAGAGGTGCAGAAATGCCATTTTCCTATGGGCCATCACTGACCCTTTGGACCTTGGAGACTGTCCCCAGCCTGCAGTCTTAGTCTCCTATTCCTTTCTGAGTCAGCTCATCCACAGTTATCAAGAGATTTTTAGAAATCACTCATAAGGTGTGAGGATTTATAAGGTTATATTTTACAGGGTCTAAAGCTGTGCCACAGAACGGCTAGCCACATACGGCTGTTTAAAGTTCAATACAGTTTAAAATTCAACTTCTCAATCATAGTAGCCACATTTCACGTGCTCAGTAGCCACACATGGTTATTGACTACCCTATTGTACAGCGACAGGAAGCAGGATATTTGGACAGTTTTATAGCATATTTTAATGAGACTAATTTAGTTTTGATAACTGTCAATCAGCATCTACCTTCCTCTCATTGGTTCTTTTTCATTTGTCCTCACTTTCATGTCTATTCTAAGATGTGCTGTCTCAGCTATTTCTTTTGTCTGTCTAAAAATGCAGTCGCTTATAGCTGTTCCTTCCTACGTAGAAGAAAAACTTTCCCTGACTATCCACAGAACCCTTCTTTTCTGGAGCCTACCCAGGACTGACCCATTTGACTTCTTTCAGTGTCTGATAGTCTTCCAGCTGCTATGGATGTCTTGAACAATCCCCTTTCAAGGCATGGCCCAGAGATAGGTATTTTGTCTTTCCTATCATGACTAAAATTATATTTCTCCTTAGCATTTCTACCCTAAATATTAAACTTGCAAAAAACTGGTAGGTTTATGATGCGTAGCCCTGCCCCGTAGGAAGGTTTCTGTCCACTAGGGAACTTTGTTGCCATTTCATCATGAGCAACCACATAGGAATTTGTGAGATTTTCTCTCATTGTTTGCTGGGTGTGAGCTAACTCTGCCATTAATGTCTTTCTAGTGTGGGAATTTTGCTGTCCTGGTCGATCTTCACATACAGCCACAGGGTTCAAACAAAGATACCAGCTGGTTTTCTGAACAGAAGAAAGAGGTACCACAAAACTTTTCACTGTTTAAATGCAAATGTCTGCTGCTAGAAGAAATATTAACTCTTTCCAGCTTTCATTTTCATTAGTGAGCAAAAAATAAGGAATGATACTTAACCCTTGAGAAATGGTTGTTATATTCCCAATGACAGACGTACACTTGCTTCTTTTTCCCCTGAGAAGGTAATACATCTATGTAATTCATAAGCTATATTATTTAAACTAGGACTTTTCTACCTCTTTGTTTTTGGGGAAAGGGCTCATTATAGTTAGAAGACGGCTGTAAAGTGAGGGTTCTAGGCAAGCAGGGATTTTAATCTAACTGCTTGTAAAGGACAGGCTGAGCCCCTGAAGTAGGCGTGGGGTGACACAAGACTGATCTTTTACAGCTCGAAATCAAATATTATTTAATTCTTAAGTTCTCATCGTCCACACTTTTGTCTTCCACTGTACTTTTTTTAACAGGCATCTTTGATGGCAAGCGTGGAGGTGTTTGACTGTAGTCCTTCTCACTGTGATCAGTCAGGGAGGTGGATGGCTGGGGGTGCTCATGGGTTTGATCGCCCTGGGCCTCAATTTCCTTATTTGCAACTGAAAGAGTTGGACCAGAGGCCTCTGAGTCACTCCTAGCTCTCAGTTTCCAGGATCCCACCCCAGTGCTGCTGTGGCGGAAGGTTGGAGAGGGCATCTGGCTCTCCTCACGTGCCTCTGCTTCCTTCTCCATGTCCTTGTACTAGAGAGCGCAATCATGAGGCAGCAGCTTTCACATAACTCTCAGAATATTATAGCACTTTGTGTCCTCCGTGATCCTCACCACAATAGCTTTTTAGAGCTAGAAGTAAAAATAAGATTTATTGAAAGATAGTATGTGGAGAAGAATCTAGTTATAGTGGCAATCAAACAAAGCAAACAAAAAAACACCTTTATTGTGGTAATTGTTTTTAGTCAACTTTTGAAGACTACTAGAAGACAAAAACTCCCTCAAAGAAAATTTATAAGTAATATATTTTCAGTCACGAGGTACTAATATAATTAAGACTTGGCTGGGCGATATTGCCCTGGGTATCTAGTGGGCCACGGCTGAAAGAAGGCAGGCACGAGATTCGGTGTCATGGGATTTACCGTTCAGGTTAAATAAATGGGTTATCCTCTTCAGGACTCAATATTTAGGAAGCCAGCATCTCCTGCTACAACTCAGCTCCATGGAATTCCAAATTTGGCTTAACCAATGTTGGCTTGCCAACACTCAATTTCTCCAAAGTGACTAATGCTTACCTGAGGGGACCTCAACCCAAAAGTCTTCTGACTTGACTGACATGAACAGCATTCTAGAATCCACTGTTTTCGGGCCCACCTTTTCCTCCATTCTCTCCGAGCTTTACCACCTCAGCCTTAGCCCTTTCTTGTTGATAGGTAGTCAGTTCTGCCAAGAGTCAGTTGATTTGAAAGGCTTTAAAATAAAACCATGAATATGTGAATCACCTTGTAGCCAAAGCATGAGGCTAGATTTTTCCAGGGTGCCACACACAGCTGTTGCTGCTCCACCTAGTACTATGTCCAGGCAGCAAGGCATGACTTAGCAAAGGTGCTCAGTGCAGGATGGGACTTGCAGAGCTTGGCTGCAGTGCTGGCTGCAGGAGGGCCTGTTACGCCGGCAAGCCGAGCTTCCCTCTCAAAGCAGAGCAGATGGTTTGCTGCTTATACTTGAAGCCGTTCCTTTAAAGTTTGTTCACTGACATTAAAATGGCTCTGAGAGAGGGAGAGCCAGAGAAAGGAGAAAGCTAGTCAAGGAAAGGATAGGACTCTAGCCTGTATTCAGTGTCCCAATGTTTTCATCTTTTTTTATTATTAGATCATTTCATGATTGGAATTTCATGAGCAATCAGTTTGATTGCATCTTAGCAGTCACTTTATATAGTGAAAGTCTTAAGAATGTCCAGTTCCTTTTCAGGAAAAGGAACTAATCGCATGTATTAAACCCAAGTTTATTTTGAGTCCAGCACGAGTAGTCTTTGTACCCAAATATGCAAACTTGTACTCTTTCATTTGTAAACTTGAGGAAGCAAGTGTGAGCCCGTTAGCCTGGAAATTCTGTATATATCTCTGTCCTCTTGCTCATTGATTTTGGCTCGGTCTTCTTAGGTGCCCCTCCTGTGTAGCTGGGAATTTGTCTTTTCTAGCATTGCTCTGGTTCTGAGGAGAATGCTTCACTAAGTGTGGTGTGGTCAGTTCCTAGGGTATCTTGACCACACTGCTAATGGTCTACCTTCCATTCGTCAAACCTGACTCATGGAAGGAAAGCCCCGTAACTATAGGGAGAAAGTTTGTGTTGTATGGGCCTTTGTTTTATTTTTGTCGTACTATTTTTAGTTCTAGCCTTATAGGGCATTTATGGCCAAATTTTAACAATCTCTGTTTCCATGTATGTCTTTCACATATTTTCTAGCTCAGTCATCGTTGAACCCTGCATGTGAAGCAAAATTCTTTAATTGTTAAAACAACAGTATGAGGCAAGGCTGCCTTTCTGTTGTGTGAACAATGCCAGAACACTCAGCTGTAAACGGATATCTCTGTATTCCACAAGGCACTGCGTCTTTGGGCTGCAAAATGAGAGCAGGAGAGAGGAGACCAGTGTTTACATTTCACGTAGATCACGTTTGTGAATTAAATCAAGGATTTTCAGTACTCTTGAGGAGTGTACATATTAGCAATAAAAAACAAGTTTGGCGATCATTGCCCTTCAGAGCTACTTAGAATTTTGTTCTTGTTTTAATTTACGAAGCTTCTAAGAGATCAACCTGAGATGGCATTGAAGAAACCAGTGAAACAGGTTTGAGCTGACCTCGGCAACTCCGAGCCTTCTGTGGAGGCTGGGATTTGGATCAGAATTATCAGTCCTTACACACCAGTTTCTTAATCTAAATTAAGAAATTTAGATTTGTGTGCCATTTTCCCCTTTCCCTGCCTTGGCTACATGTCTCTGGTGGACAGTGTCTTCCTGTTGTGTGGTGGACTTTGAGAGCTGTGTTTTTCTTTTCATAAGTAACACTGATACATAAAACAATCGACAGCCGCAGAAATTTGCTGGCGGTGTGGTATGTTGACATTGAGTTAAAATCATGTGTTTCTGTTGCCTAATAAATATTAATCTACTTTAGAGAAATATGAGAAGTTAAATTATTTTCAGCATTAATCAGCAGATACAGTACAGTTTTCACAAAAGCAAATGGTCATGTACGGGATCATCAACAAGTGCAGGGAAGAAAATCACAAAACTGGTTTCCAGTTCTCTCTTCAGCCCATCCCTCGATACTGTTCCTTCTTCAGTAGATTTTTAAACCTGAGGCCAGAAACTAGTGAGTGGTGGTGTTTAGGTTAAAAAAATGTTGTTGTTTTGTCTGTTAGGTTGGTTTTTTTGGGGGGGGTTGTGTCTGCTCCTCTCCCTACCCCTCACCCCAACTCATGCTCTCTCTCGCTCTCTCTCTCAAATAAATAAAATCTTAAAAAAAAAGTTTTGAACCAAGTTTGAAAAATGGGAAAATATTCCCATAAAAATCACTGTGGCCAGCTCCTCCTGAACAGATAGGAAGAGCTAATAACCCTGTCCCTGGAATCCTCACATGACAACGGTCCCCTGAAACCATGGAGTGGTGGGGGGTGGCTGCCATCCCATCTTGCCCAGCCACGCGGGGCACTTCACTGCTTTTATCTTCCTTTTAGAAATGTGAAACTGAGGCAGAGGGAAATGAAATGAATTTCTCAGGTCACAGAGTAAGCCAGCATCATGGTTTTGAACAAACCTCAGTAGCAACCTTAAACCTGGGATGTTACCCTCAAGCACAGACAGCATTCTTTTCAGCCTTCACAGCTAAGTAAAACAAACAAAATGAAATGTTCAGTGTTGACTTTTTAATATGCACGATATTGACTCTTTTTGCATTGCATTACATGAAAAAACTATGTCTCATTTTTCACCTTACTTAGGAAGTCTGTTTACTGTTAAAAGAAACCATTGATTCAAGAGTTAAGGAGTACTTGGAAGTTCGTAAACAGCACAGGCCATCAAATACAGAATTCACGAGATCCAGTCCCTTGACCTTAAAAGGTAGGCACCGAGTACTTTGATTTTGGATAAAATTTCTGCTTTGTAGAGATGGCAATTATGTTTGACTCTGACTGTCATGTTAGTACAGTGATACATTTAAAAAATATGTTCTAATGAAGATGCTTTGTTTGGGTAAAGAAAATTAACCAAAAAGCCCTGGAGGGCTTTTAATAGTAGGCAAAATATATAAAAATAGAGAATAAAACATTCCTAAGGAAAATGTAAATACTTTAAAGGATTTTTTTTTTTTTTGACAAGTAGTCTTACAGATAGATTTACATTAATGCTGACTTGATTTGGGGCTTTATGCTTTTTTAAATGCTTTCATATATGTGACTCTATTTCAGACATTCTCAGCTGGGGGTGATGGGTCCCAGGGGACACTGGGTTGTCATCGGGTGAGCGGGGAGGGGGCTGGCAGGAAACTACTGACATTTAGGGATTGGAAGCCAAGGATGTCACTGAATATCATACAACGCACAGAAAAGCCCCCCACAACAAGGCATTATCTGGCCAAAATGTCAAGGGCACGGAGGTTGAACTGTCTTGCCTTATTTCCCAACAACACTTTGAGAATGGTGATGTCTGAGTTGTAGGTGATGAAGCTGAGGATCTAGAAGATTAGGGGCTCACCTAAATAGAAGGTCATCTTTTTGAGGACAGAGATGATCTTGTTTATTTGGCATCTTACCCCGCACGCCCCCCTCCTCCATACTTAGCCCAGTGCCAGATACACAGATTCAGTGACTTGTTGAAGGAAAGCATACTTGAGTGACAGGTGGCAGAACCTGACCCAAGACCCAGCTCTTCTGACTCCTAGCCCACTGTTCTTTCCTCTCTGTCATTGTCGTGCTTTTATTTATTTTTTTTTTAACTTTAAATCAGCATTTCATAATACTCTTTGTGGTACAAATAAGGTCAACCTTGTGTTAATCCTCAGAGAGCAGCACTGGACAGCCATGAACTAGGTTATGCTAATGCAGCATCCCCTTAGGAGAAGAATTGTGTTAAGTAACCCCTTTGAAGGCACACTTAATCTACACTGTTCACCTGGGCACAGCTGATAAGTAGGCAGACAGATTAATTTAACCCGAACTGAAGCCTCGAACGGAATTTTCAGTTCAAACAATATTGTATTAGATGACACTTTCTGGTATTTCGTTTAGTAGTAGGATAAAGCTGGAGAAAAGCCAGAGGGGCTTATACCCCAGCAGACCGGGCTAGTCTCATTTTCTAACTGCTACAAAAAGAGAAGAAACAGAGAAGGTTCCCAGACCTTCATTTCTGGTGTGGAGGTAGCATGGTCAATACTGATTGTCAAGTAGCCCTTCCCTGGCTTCCTCTGCTACTGAGTAAAAAATGCTAAATACTCAATTTCCCAGCCTCTCTCACAGCTAGGGAAGATGGGTTGTGTGTTGTTCTGGCCTCAAGATGAAAATCAAAGTCTTTCTTGGGCTCATGTGGGCAAGAAGTTTGTTTTTATTTGCATGGACGAATTTATTTATTTATTTATTTATTTATTTACAACAGTTTTGTTTTTAAATAGGAAAGTGATCTTTCTGTATATACAAAATTTTAAAAAAAGGTTTATTTATTTGAGAGCAAGAGTGCACACGTGTGAGCAGCGGAGGGGTAGAGAGAGAGGAGAGAGAATCCCCAGTGGACTCTTCACTGAGCTCAAAGCCCAGCGTAGGGCTTGATCCCAGAACTCTGAGATCATGACCTGAGCCAAAACCAAGAGTTCCATGCTTATCTGACTGAGTCCCCCCTGGTGCCCCATACATAGAATTTTATACCCTGTTGTTTTTTTCCCCCACATAACATAATATAGAAATCCTTTAAAACATATGCATCACCATTTTTTGAAAAGTTGTTTTAATGTGGTAAACTATACATAAAATTGACCAGGGTAACCATTTTCAAGTGTTCAATTTAGTGGCATTAAGTACATGCACATTGTTGTGCAGTCATTGTCACTTTCTATCTCCAGAACTTTTCGCCGTCCCAAACTGGAAGTCTTTACCCATTGAACAATACCTGCCCATTTCTCTCTTCCCTAGCCGCTGGTAACCTCTATTCTGCTTTCTAATTTACTACTTGAGGTACCTCATATAATGGAATCAGACAGTTTATCCTTTTGTGTCTGGCTTATTTCACTTAGCTTAATGTTCTCAAAGATCATCCCTGTTATAGCATTTAGCAGAATTTTCTTTCATAATACTCACACACACACACATAAACACACACACATTTTTGTTTATTTGTTCATCTGTCATAGAATAGTTGGGTTGTTTCTACCATTTGACTATGGTAAATAATGTTGCTATAAATATTTGTGTTCAAATATCTCTTTGAATCTCTGCTTTTCACTTCTTTGGGTGTATGCTTAGAAGTAGAATTGCTGGATCATATGGTAATTACCAGTTTATTTTTTTTTTATTTAGGTTTTTTTTTTTGTTTTGTTATTGTTGTTGTTTGTCTTTTTTTTTTTTTTTTTGAGGAACTGCCATCCTGTTTTCTGGTGACTACACCATTTTACGTCCTCACCAAGAATGGATCTCCGTGTTTTCACAATCTTGCTAATACTTTATTTCTGTTGTTTTGATAATAGCTGTCCTAACATATATAAAGTGGTATCTTATTGTGGTCTCAATTTGTCTTTCCCTCATTTGTAATGATTTTGACCATCTTTTTAATATGCTCATTGGCCATTTGTATATCTTCTTTGGAGAAATGTCTGTTTATGTCCTTGCCCATTTTTTGGGTTGTTTGCTTTTGTTTTTTAGTTGTAGGATTTCTCTTATATATTCTGGATATTAATTCCCTTTCAGGTGTATGATCTGCAAATATTTTCTCCCATCATCTGTTGCCTTTTCACTCTTGATAGTGTCCTTTGATGTGGAAATGTTTTAGATTTTGATGTGTCAATTTATCTATTATTTTGCTGTCTGTGCTTGACACTTTTTCCAAGAAAGCTTTACTGAATCCAATGTCACAAAGCTTTTCCGATGTTTTCTTAGAGTTTTCTAGATTTAGCTCCTTTTATTTAGGTCCTTGATATCTTGAATTAATTTTAAGGGAAGGACTCAACTTCATCCTTTTTCATACAGATATTTAGTTGTCCCAGCACCATTTGTTGGAAAGTCATATCCTTTCCCCCATCAAATAGTCTTGGCTCCCTTACTGAAAGTCTTTGATAATAAATGTGAGGATTTATTTCTGGGCTCTCTATTCTATTCCATCGTTCTACATGTCTGTCTTTCTGCCAGTTGGGGGTTACCATAGCTTTGTAATAAGTTTTGAAATTAGGAAATATGAGTCTTCCAACTTCCTTAATGTTTTTTAAAATTCTTCTGGCCCTTCAGGGTTCCCATCGCCACTTTTAATGACTGTGTAGTATTCCATTAAATATCTTTACTCTGATTTATTGGTAGGACAGTTAGGTTGCGTTTTAATGTGTTCTCTCTTGTAAACAATGGCACAGTGAGTATGCTGACGATACACATGTTCGCACACAGCAACTCCTTTATAATATTTTTAGTTTTAATGTTCATATCTTTATTAGTTTGTAAGAGCTCCTTAAGGATAAAAATGCCTTGTATGTTTTATGTGTTGTACATGACCTTTCTGAGTTTGTCATTTGCCTTCGACTTGGTTTGTTTAACTACACAACCACAAACTAGGAGAAGCTTGCATTTGCCTGGTGGATCTTTCAGTGAGCAACCACTTTCGGGATGAATGCTAGGCTTCACTGTAATGAGATCAGAGTGCAGTCGATTGCCAGAGGGAGGCAGGAGGATCCTGAAGCACCATTGTGTTCACTCAGCTGTGCTAAGTGTTCTTCCTTGAAAGTCATGTTGGTATGAAAGCAGTCACTTCCCTTTCCTTCCTACTTCTGGTAACAGTTAACCTTTAATTGACCATGTCTTTTGATGTTCAGACCTTAGCCAGTCCCCTCCTTTGCTGCCGCCAACCAGTGCCTGCTCCTGCCTCCCCTGCCTGGCGGGGCACCCACAGCAGCCTCCTGGCTGGCTTCCTTGTGTCCACTCTGGCCCATGCCTCTCCTGCTGTTTATACTTCAGTTCGTGTCATCCCTTAATATCACAAGTCTGATCTTGTGAACCTCTTCGCCAGGGCTCCCAGGTGCAAGCCAGGATCCTGCCTCTCCAGCCTCATCTTGTCCCCCTCTTTCCTTCTTTCTTGCTCTCAGTGATGGCAGCTTAATGCCTTTCTTCCAAAGATCCTTTCTTCTGCTCATCTTGGGGGTCTCTGCCCAGATTGGAGCCCAGGTCTCGATCCTTTCCCTGTGCTCTTTCTGCTCTCTGCTCAAAATCACTCCTCAGGGAAACTTATCCTGGGGAACCGTCTCCCTGTCTCCCTGTTACTGGCCCACAAGCATCCCGAACATCATTCAGTTAACGTTGGTCTCTCCACAAGCCGTGTAAGCCTTCTGAAGACAGCTTTGGCCTCTTTTATTTCCATTGTGTCTCCAGCTAGGAGGACATTTCCTGCTTTGCAGTAGGTATTTAATAAGTGTTTGTACAGGTGATAAATTACACGCATGGTTCTATCTTTCCTCTTCCTAGTAAGGTCAGAGCATACCATAACTTTCCCAGCCTGCCTTGTCTCCTCCCACCGCTCACTTTCTTGCCTCCCACAAGCCTGCTTTCTTGATACCACTGCCTTAACATTTACAGGTTTTGCCTTTGTCTGGAAAACTTATATTTAACTTTTAAGATCCACCTCAAATATTACTTCTCCAAAGTCTCCCTCAGTTTCTTGTCTTTTGGCACTTAACACTTTTAATACATTTGTCACATTGTGTTATAATTGTGCTATAATCCGTTTACCTACCTTTATCCTACCCCCTTCAGTGGCAAGACTGGTGCTTTGCCACTCACAGAGCCTCTCTCCTTCTCCAGATCACATTAGTGCTTAACCCTAGAACATAGACAACTCTGCTTCTGGTTGTAAGCGCTTAACCTCATGTTAAACTGTTA